CCGTCTCAGAACCCCCCACGGGCAGTACTCCCCTGTCCTACAGCGTCAACCGTGAGCACATCGACTTCCTAGCAGTGAGTCTGGTCTGGGGGTTTTAGGCTTCCCTCAATATCTGCTGCGAAAGCTCTACAGGGCAGGGAGGGTGTCTGAGACGCATGTGGGAAAATTGACTTGACAGAGAATGGCACTTGCCTGTTCACTTTTTGAAGGCCCCTAGTGTTTGCCAACTGAGTCAGACAGCAGCTCGCACCCTTATGGCTCTCGGCACTTGTGGGCCACACAGGCTGTCACCACTAGCCGACTCTCCTTGCAGCAGAAAAGCAGCTACAAAACTTAAAGCAACGAGTGACCACGTTCCGTAAAACTTTATTTATGGACACTGCAATGTGAGCTTTGTGTGTTAAAAAATGTCTGTCCCCCCCCTTTGGGTGGGTGGGGGCAATCATTTAAAAATGTAAAAGCCGTGCCTAGTTCAAGGGGTGTGCCCATGCTGGCTTTGACCCTCCTGGTTGTACCCTGTCCTAGCCCAAAGCATTAACACTACTTCCAAAACACCCCAGGTCACCTGGTGGGGAGGAAGCGGGAGAGGGGTATTTCTTGGAGAAATCACCTCAGCAAATACTTCATTCCCAAGAATGTTCGGTGGCCAGCTTACGAAAACCTGTGCTCTTGGCAACTGGCCACCCCCACCCCCACCTCACCACACCCCCATTCTTCCTATTCATATGTGTAACCCCCAAAGACTGTAAATAATCGCTGGAAGATCCCCACTAGCCACAGGCAAGGGTTTCAAACAGCTTTACTTACTAGCAGATAGCAATCACTGTAATTGATCACACTTGATACTTGGTCAGTGTACCTCCCCCTAGACCCAACCTGAAACTCTTCTAGGTGCAAGGATTTCTTGCTAGTTCCATGACAAAAATGTCTTCCCTGGCCTTTAAAATATCCACGGTGGTCTCTTCTTTCTTACTCATTATTTGTATTTTTCTCTGTGTATTATTATTCTTATGGTATCCTTACCACTTCATTTTTCACTGTTTCTGTTGGGGTTTCCTGTTTGTGGAGCACAGAAGGAGTAGATGCATAGAGATAAGAACTGACAGCAAGGGCTTATAGGAGAGGTTGGTGGGGGGGAGACAAGGAGGGTGAGGGGGAAAGGGGGTAGAAAACAATGTATGTGGGAGTGGGAGGGAGTACTAGAACTGATGGTGATTATCCAACTCATTTTGAAAGTGTTTTAATCCTGGGGGGGAAAGAAGAAAGTGTTCTGAAATTGTGGTAATGATTGTACAACTCTTATTAATATGATTGAACTATTGAATTGTGTGATATGTGGATTAAGTGTTAATAAAACTTTTTAAGGTGACTTAACCATGGGGGTGGGGGTGGGGAGAAAATTATCTAAAATTGAGTGTGGTAATGATTGTACAACTCTTCTAGATATGATAGAGCTATTAAATTAATTGTGTGATATGTGGATTAAGTGCCAACAAACTGTTATTAATAAAAGAGACTAAATAAGAATGGTGGTCCTAGAAATAACATCAATGTCCATCAATATGCCAACGGGCGAAAAAGAACACGTATAGACTTACATCCAATGGAATATTGTTCGGCCATAAAGAAAAATGATGTTCTGACCTTGAAAAGGCTACGCCGCCGAAGGAAGCAAGTCAATCACCAAAGGACAAATACAATATAGGACCACTCACCTGAAAGGCCTCACACAAGCTGAGTTGAAGAAATAACTAGACAAGGCAAATGTATAGAAATCCAAGTTTATTAGTAGTTTCCAGAAGCAGGAGAGAGGGGGACAGCTGGGAAGGAGGAGTCCCTGTTTAGGAAGCTCTGAATCTCTGGTCACGGAAATCAGTTACCATATTGGTGATGGTTGCCCAACTGAGTAATGTAGCTGATGCCACTCAACCTTAAAGGTGACAATGTTACCTTGGCAAACAATCTGTTATATGAGGGGTGGGGAATCCAGTAATTTCTTCATTTCCTGTGAACTTTGGGAAGCCCCTTCCTGCCCTGGCAACAATTAACATTTAAAATAATATTTCTAAAGCAGACTAGAATCCTTCACCCAAAGAGGCTTCTCTCCCCAGCCAGGCAGTCCCCAAGAAAAGAAAAATGAGGGTTGTATTCAAGGCCACTTTCCCTGCCTCTTATCCTGGGATCTTCCGGTGTTCCCCAGGTCCCAAGTTCTCTTACACAGCCCGTTGAAGAATAAAAACCCACCCTCTGCCATCAATTCCATCCCCACTCATAACCACCCTAAATAGAGTTCCCGAGGCTGTAAATGTTCAGGGGAACAAACAGCCTTATCCTTCTCCCAGGAAGAGGCTGGTGGATTTGACTATTCTAACGCTTATCTGACTATGCCACCAGGGCTCCTCATAAACTAGACTCACTGTCATCAGGTGGGCACCCACTGACCCTGGCCCTATAAGACAGGGCAGAACTGCCTCTGTGAGACTAGACCGCTTTAGGGGAATAGAAAGCCCATCTTTCTCCCAAAGAGCAGCTGGTGGGTTCCAACTGCTGGCCTTGCAGTGAGTAACCACTACACCACCAGATCTCCGTAGACATCCTTATACTAAAATAAACAAATTCACCGCCATCGAGTCAATCCCAACTCCTACGTGGCTGGAATATCGCTCAGCTGGGAGAGTATTAGACTGAAGAGCTAAAGGTTCCTGGTTTGATCTCAGGTGTTGGTAACTGTACGTGGGCGGTCCTGTTCAAAGTAACCTGAACAAAAGCCGTGGAAACACACCACTAAGGGACCCTAGCCACGGACAGTACTTGTTTGGGTCTCACTAACTCAGTGCAAAATTGTGTTCTCAATACCTCAAATGCCTCTACTTCCCTGAATAGTTATTACAACTCGGTCTCTTTCCAGAGAAGTATACAAACTTTTTCATTGAAGGGGCAAAATAGGCGTGTCTTTAAAAACTGTATACCCTCCTTTATGCAAAGGATCTACGATCACCTTCCTAAGTCTACAGTAAGAAAGCAAAATGACATTTTTGCATACTTACGCATTTTTCTGGGAGTCCCTGGTTTGGGCAAACCATGAAGTTTGCTGCTGCCAACCGGAAGGTTGGCAGTTCAAACCCAGAGAGGTGCTTCAGAAAAGCGATCCGGTGATCTTTCCCAAACACTACAGCACAGCGTTTCCGGTCACAACCGACTGCATCATAGCTGAAAGGCGCATCCTTTCTTCTGGACATTAAAAACATCAAACGTCACAACTTGCTCCCCCACGCCCCTCGCCATGGACTTTTCCTAGCTCCCACATTGTTTCCTTCTTCTCAATTTAGCATGCAGAATCATACGGTATTCCAAGTGTGGATAACAATATTTTAATTAAGAAACGTTTCCAGTGGCTTAGCAATTTTAAATTGTACTGGCTATCATAGTACAGCTTGGCTTCCGGGAGGGGCTCTAGTCCCCTTTTACTGTATCAGTTATCTGTTAAAAAAAAAAAAAAAA